ACTATACAAGAAAGATATACATACAATAAATAATATATTATATATTGTAATATAATAATAATAATAATAATAATAATAATATAATTATTATTAATATAATAATAATATATTGTATATGAGATATATCAACATGATTTAGTCCAGTTCTGTGATTGTGGATCTGACAGAGGCAGATGAGTTATAGGGACTTTCTTTCTTCTCTATTCAGTAATAATAAGGCACTTTTTGCTGTTGTTGACTTTATAGCCAGAGAACTGACCAAACTCCTTCAGAAGCAGTGTGCATTAATTAAGTTTCCCAGACTTGTTAAAAACACAACAATATCGAATGCGAATAGAGACAAATGATGCTCCGTCTTACCTATAGTCATACCTGTGATTTTAGACGATTGACGGATAGACATGGCAAAGGGTTCGATAGCAAATAAAAACAAAAGACAAAATCTCGTTTTGTACCCAAGTGAGTTTCCTGTAGAAAAATGATATTGGATTTCATTTGCTTAATCCTACTCAATACTTGTTTAAGTTTTACCAATTTATTCAAACCTCTTGTATTCCAGCTAAATTTTTAAATCTGACCTGTTAATCATGGGGCTCATCTGTTTTGTATTTGTACATAAGGATGGTATGACCGAAAGAATAAAAATAAAAGGTTAAAATAACTCTCCGAGATCTTAACCCCTCCCAAGAACCCCTCCCGCAGTTCCCCAAACGAAGCACACAACCCAAATAATAATAAACTTCGGGTATTCAGAACGTTAGATCCACACCATGAGGAGCAACGTGATTCATATACTGACACATTCTTTTAGGCTAACTAACATTGAAAACAAATAGATTGAAATCAGTCTTCAGTAAATCAAAAGTTGGCAAAAGAAAAAGAAAAAAGAAACACATCGGCCACTTTAACAGTACATCATTAATTCCCCCCCTCTCTCGGGGAGTACCAGAAAAAATGCCTTTAAGGCCAGCTTTAGTGTGGTTTAACTGTCCATTTTTAAAATTAACACACTAAAGGCGCCCATATAATTAACGGGGGAAATAAAATAACACAAAAGGACAGTGGGGGGATATTTTACGTATTATACCCAGTTCAAGGTTCTCAATCTATTAAGCTCTTAGACATATTTACCTGAAGTTGTGTCCCTTCCAGCTGCTCGCCTTTTTGTTGGAGTGTGGTCATATTTTCCTCTACCTGTGAGATTCTCTCCTCCGTCTCCCCAATTCTTCTCGAGTACGACAATAAATCTCCTTTAATTGCTTTAAGCATCTTGTTGGAGTTTTTAACGAGTCCTTCCTTCATTGAGCGAATCGCATCCAGTATAACATTGTTGGACGGCAAGCTGCCGTTAGCTTTGCCTTTGCCCTCGCCCTCATTAGCATTATTGCTAGTCTTGTCGATGGCGATGTTAGTCATGCTATTTTGCGGCCTCTTAGCTGGTTGTTGTCCAGGTTTAGCATTTTTCGGTGGCATGGTGACCAATCACACTTTCCCACACCCAAAATGGAGGATGTTGTCTGAGCCTCAGTCGAGTTTCAAGTGTTTTTTCAGAAAGTTAGCGAGAGCCGAGTTACTTTGACGTAGAGCTAACGTACAACTATAAATCAGACTTAAGGCTGTGTTTGTCCCTATAATAGTTTACCTCTCAACTTAAGAAGACCTTACAAATCACGACAATCAAACTTTGTCAAGACTCGCTTATATTTTTAAAATTTTTGTTAAATGAACAAAACTTTTACTTATCTATGTCCTTGATATGTGTATAAAAATCTTTTTTTACTTACATGCACTTTTAAATCATGTTGTTTTATGTTTCATTTTATTGTCAGGCTGCAGGACTGGTGTTTGAACTGAGGCAGAAGTGGCAAAATCTGTTCATCAAAAGGATCCGTTGTCCTTCGAAGCCCTGGTCTCAACAAGATGAGGCCATCATCCGCACCCTGGTTTCTGTATGTCATATTTTCTTTTCTTTGTTTAAGTTAAAAAGGTGAGGTAAGTAATTGGGGAGAAATCCAATACAATGACAAATACCATGATATAGTGTGAACAACGCAACAAGTAATGTAACGTAAAACTGGTGCTAAAGTGGCTGCTGGGCAGCTACATGGAGAGGCAGTTTCCAGTAGTGTTGCGCGGTACACCGATACTTCAAAAGTATCGCGATTCTCAGAAATTAACAAACGTCACGATCCTAAGTTTATTAGTATGATACTTTTAAGAATGACCGCGTTCCAGATTTGTAAGAGACGTACTTGCATGTTGGTGTGTTGCAACGCATGCTTCGCAGTGCCTCCCTGTGGCGACCTGTGTTTTTTTCCCGGTCACGCAGCGCAGCAAAGAAGCTGGCAGCTGTCATGTGACCAAACACTACATCAATGACGATCGGCTCATGTGCAGCACAAGCTGGATATGCCTGTGCCCCGGTCCCACCGACTGTTAGAAAAAGATGACCGCAAGGGAGTGAAACATATCGGAAGTTCATCTTTGCCTACCTTGCTGACAGTTGAGGGCAAAGCTACGCGCTTAAGCGAACGCCTGTTGCTCGTCAGTGCTACTAACAAATGTAAACAAAAGGGATGCCAACAGCTCGAACCTGGCGAAACCACCCTACGCACGCCGAGTTTGTAGCAAGGAGTTTAAAGACTGACAGGTTAGTATGTGAAATGATATACACGATAATTAGGGACTGCACGATATACAGTCGGCCATTAATATCGGTATGCGGCCGATGTTCGTCATTTTTTAAAATATCGTCGGAATCAGTCGATTGAGTAAAAATCATGGGGCCCCGATATACACCATACCGATGTATATCCTCCTAGTAGCTGTTTGGCTGTGCTCGGCGAGAGGGGAGAAGGAGGGGGGGGGGAGGGGGATTTTGCCATGTGTAATATGTTTGGACACGCGACAGTGGCAGTACAGGATTTGTGGGATGTTAAACTGAAGAGGAGAAAACAATGTCATCTCAGAACACAAAAACATATAATCCGACTATTGGTAAAATATCGGTTATCGGCCAATAAAACTAGCAAATTAATATCGGTATCGGCCAAGAATTTTCATATCGGTAGCATCCCCTAACGATATGGTTCAAGCCCTTAAATAAGCTCCATGAGTAGGCTATGGTTTATTTTGTGAGAAGTCCACTTATTTTGCGCCGACTGTAGTTTGACACGACGCTAATCTAGAGAAATACGTAGGCTTAACTTGGGCAATATTCCTCATAGCTAACCAATTAGCCTGCCTACTGCTAATTCCACCATCTTTGATAAACGCAACTTTCACAGATAACGTTTAATTAATCTTGCAAGCTGCTAAAATAACAGCATACAAAACATCAGGCTAAAATTGATCTATAGGCTAATGATTTATGAATCAGAAGCCCCCCTTGTGCATGTTTTGTCATGATTTATTTTCATTATATTTATATTATAATATTGTCATTATATACCTTAGCATTTAAAGAGAGCACAGACCTACGCAAAAGGAGGTGTTTATTTTCAAAACGCCTTGGGTAAGAAATTATAACTTCAAATACTAAGTTAACATCAAAAGAAATCAGACGTTGAAAACAGATGACATTGCCTGATATTAACTCCAATACCTACTCACAAGCCTTATAATAACGTTAGGTTATCAGTTATTTCCTACCTTTATATAATTTATGGTAATGGTCTTTATGGTTAAGTTAAAATGTTACGCAAGTTAATCACTATAACACTTGCAATATAGAGGAATACTCAAGGTTAGTCAACAAGTTAATTGTGCTCACTATTCCAACACAAACTATTTAGGTCCCTCTTGTTTAGTAACCAAATTTATCAACCAATCCATATTTTACAATTACTTTCCATTTTCTTCTCTACAGAAGGTCTGGGGCCACGTGTGGCCATATAATGATTCAAAATTTGTGTCCCGGTTTTTTAAAATAAAAGCACAGCAATGAATCTTGAGAGCGTTCGAAAAAGTATGAAATCCGCAAATATCTTGGACCTTGGTAATATCGGTATCTGAAACAATAATTCATTGGTAAATCGTGCACCACTCAGTTTCCAGCCAAGCAACCAAGCCAGCTCCAGACAGTGATACTCACAGCCCTCCTGCTACTATAGCTAGCATGAACTTGATAAAGTTATATATTATACATTATACAGGTTTTTTTAGTTCTACCAAACACTCAAAGTACAACACTTGTCACATCCATTCATCCATTCACACACAAATTCATATGCTGATGACAAAAAACAACAACAAACAGAATCCATAAACCGTAAACTTGACCTGCTTGTCACATTCTGAAACATTAGCCATTTCAGATTGTTAACTAATACGACAGTGACCATGATGCATTGTAAGCTTATGATAGGTCTCCAGTTGGAGAGGTTTTTACACAGCTGTAACAACACTGGCAGCAAAGTGAGTGTAACTGAGCAGACATTCGATTCAAATTAATAGTTTATTAAAGATAAACAGCAGAGAAAGGGCTACAATAGCATGTCATGACAAGAAATGTCAACATTACATCAGTAACGGGCACACAGCTGTGTTAGCTAATGTGCCTGTACAGTTATATGGCCCTGACTCAGTCCCCTATTGCCTTTTATATTAATGATATGGCCTCTCAATAAAATTCTAATTGATTAAAAGCCAAGTCTAACATAACTCAAACTTAACATTAGCTTTCTAACGTTTGATTAGCTAATAGGTTAGCTAATAAGACATTCACTTACCTTTCTTTGTAAACAGAGTTGGATGTTGACCAATGTTTACTTCTTACTAATGTTATCGACAACATCCTTGAATCCAAATTTGGAATAGCACTCGCCATGATAGCTGCCTCGTGTGTTTGATTCTGCTGTCCTGCCGTGTTGTGATTGCCGGGTGCAGCATTGCTCTAGAAGTCCCTCAGTCATGTGTAAAATGTATGCAATGCAAGAACAGGATGTGTTTTTGAAGAAATTTAGTAACAAATGGAAATATTGGTCCATATTCCAAATTCACACTAATCTAAATGGTGCAGTCATGTTTCTGGCAGTTCTTTCTAGCTATTTCTAACAGAATACATCTGAATCATGACCCAAAACTCAAGACAAGAACCAAACAGTTGGTCCAAACCATAACTAAACAGTGATGGTACCCTGATTAAAGCTGACTTCTGTGCTCTTTGCAAAGTCGAACTGCCATGTAATTTTCTCTCATATTATCAGCACGTTTGAAAATTGAGAACCATTTCCAAACTGATGTCCCTCAGGTGCTATCAGAAGAGGAGCAGAGGGCAGGCCTACAGCAGCCCACAGGGATTGGCCAGCGGCCTCGGCCCATGTCATCAGAAGAGGGACCCCATGCTTCTGTAAAAAACTCCAAGAACAGCCCCCAACGACCCACCAATGACAAGTATTTGAGTAGTCTCAAAAATATTTACAATGCAGTGTTATGTATTGTGGATGGAAGGATGTTGCCAGGTATGACAGGGATGGAAAGATGTTGGATAAATAATCCATGCGATTTTTCCCAGAAGTTTCATGAATCCAGTCAGTTGTACTGGTGTATAGTATACATAGAGATTTTTGTACAAATTACACCAGTAAAATTGAGAGGCACAGCTGATGATAGCTATCATCTTTTGGGGAGTCCTCTCATTAACGATTCATAAAAATAAAGAAATTACTCATTTGTATTATGACGTGCTGAGGAAGAATTTAGCATTCTCACAGCTGTCTTTTAGTCTGGTGGTACTACCGGCAGTAGAAGCTTCTGGACGAACAGGCTGTGGCTGGGGTGAGTGCTGTCTTTTAGTATCCTTTGAACTCTGCGCAGACACCTCATCTCACCAATATCACTGATCTTCTGGGCGGTTTTAATCACCCTGCTGCAGAGTCCTCCTGTACTAGTCCGTGCATATCCCCTGTAATTTTGTGATTTTTCCAGTCAGAATGCTTTTTATCGCTACTCTGTAAAAGTTAAAAAAAGAATAGGAATATTCGGGATATGGCATTTACATGGAAATTAAGAAACCTTGTTATTCATATTTAATATCCCTGAAATAGGGTACATGATAATAACAGTATCCAGGTTTCTGATTGTGTGCCTGCAGCTGTATTTTGATGTCTTATCGTCCATACTAACAGAAGGTTCAGAAACCAGGCAGCGTTTGTCATTAATTACATAGACTTGTCCCACAACAAGTCCTGTTTTGGATGCAGTCCAGGTGGACTGACCAGACATACTACTCAACCTATAACTCCAAAAAATGTGGGAACTCCAAAAAATGTGGGACCTCCATTGTGATTAGCAAAAACACACCATATACTCATAAATACTCATAAATCAACTACAATAGATCCAGATGTTTCATTATCATCAATGGTAACATTGATAAAGACAATATAACAATAGCAGGTATTTACGGACCCAACACTAACATCCCTGCTTTCTCTATTATTATCTTTATCAACCCAATCCACCCATGGTGCTTGAACACCTTACTCCTAAAAGATGCAGATCTAATATTTTGAAAAGGAATGGGCATCCTTTCTAGAAACCGACAACACCCTTGACATAACCACATGCACTCTCTGGGATACAGCTAAAGTAGTCCAAAGAGGTCAAATAATAGCATATTCCACAAACAAACAAAAAAGAAGAAACAGCAAGAGAACATCTTCTACAACAGGTGGTGAAGAGACTGGACACCCTAGCCTCTCAAATGGCTAGAGACAGAATCAAAAAGAAAGAAAGAACTACTCAAAACCAAACATGAGCTTAGTAATCTTCTTAACAAAAAAATAGAGTATAACCTTGTTAAACTCAGACAACATTTGGAATTTGGTAATAAAATGGTAGACTCCTAGCCAAGAAATTGAAGCAACAAACTGAAAAATCTAACATAACATCAATAGAAGATGTCTCCAGAAACACCCAGATGACCACACTGCAATAAATTAAACATTCAGACATTACTACTCAAAACTATACACCCCTGACAATCTAACAGAATCTGACACATCTACAGAAGCTGACGCTTTTCTGAGGAATGTCTCCCTTCCAAGACTTAACAAAACCCAGACCGAGAATTTGGAGAAAACACTCACCCTTGACAAACTGAAGAATGCTCTACAACTCATGCCCAACAACAAGTCCCCAGGTTTAGACGGATACCCAGTAGAATTTCATAAGCAATTCTGGTCACTTCTGGCACCTTTATTTTTCAATATGATCTCCTCTGATCCTCTGTATTTTAAAATTCTTACCATATGAATACTGCCTTTATTACACTCATCCCTAACCCCAACAAGGACCCTACACACTTGCTCCAACTACTGCCTTATATCTTTAATCAACACCGATGTAAGAATTATAAGCAAAGCTTTGGCAATAAGACTAGAATCTTGAATTTTATCACTTATACACTCAGATCAAACTGGTTTTATCAAAAAGGAGACATTCCTCACAAAACACACGAAATTCATCTATATAAAACCAGAACAGACACGATTAAACAGCCTGCCATAATTCTAACTTTAGATGTCGAAAAAGAGTCAAACAGGGTAGGGTGGACCTTTCTTTTCACCTCTTTAAACCACTTTGGCTTTGGCCCCCCTTCAATAATTGGATTAAAATTCTGTATAACACACCCTCAACATCTATCGACAAATTTCTCAACAGAGATAACCCTAACCCATCACCATTACTTTTTGCACTTTTCAGAGACACTCGCATCAGCCATAAGACAGAATGACAGCATTTTAGAAATGAAAACCGATTCATACCATCATAACATCAGCCTATACGCCGACGACATCTTTTTATATCTAACAAATCCCTCAACCTCCCTCCTGTCAGTCCACAGTCTGATTGATAACTTCAGCTAGTTTTGTGGTTACTCCATCAACTGGTGTGAATTTGAGATTCTGCCGTTAAACCATTTTGAATGGGGTGCTGAGGTTGGGGACGTACCCTATAACCACACAACTCAATCCATCAAATACCTCGGAATCCATGTCCCAAAAAACCCATTTACTACACAGCATGAAAGAAAACCTGGTTAGATGACATACACTCCCGATCTCTTTAATTGACCGCATTTCCAGTGTAAAAAATAAAAATAAAATAATAAATATCTATTTGCCATGACTCCTGTTGATCCTCCTCTGGGCTGGTTTCCTCTCTGAATTCAGCAGTAAATACATTTTCCTGGAAAGGCAAAAGGACCAGGATCAAATTAACTTCCAAAAACCCAAACAATGTGTCGGACTCGATCTCCCCCTTCTGCATATTGCATTTATAGACAAATTGATCAAGAGTCTTAACTGCCTACAAATTTAATACTATAAATATGAGTTTAGTGTCTTTGAGTTCCTAGAAAA